GTCCACATAAAAAAAACATAAGATGAAATGGAAAAGCCAAAAGGTACAGAGAATAATGCACAATTTTTGTTCACTTGTTTGGGAGTAGATTTGTAGTGTTATGCTTTATGTTTGTCTTCCTTCTTAAAACTCGGATTCATAAATCTTTTACACGAATCCACCTTTAAAATCTTCAGAGTTTTGCTTTGGGCACTGTGCAGCAACTGTACAGTCAAATGATTATAAATCAATCCAAAGTTGTGCATTATAGTCTTAACCTCACAAACTACACTGCTGAATATTGTGTCTCATTTTTCAGTTGGCAGTGGAGTGTGGAGCACTCTCCATTTGATTAAACTCTACCCAAAGGCTGCATCAATTATGTATCTTCACAATGAAGGTAATGGACTGTAATAACAGCTGGAGATGACTTGACTAAATTTCCACATGACGTGGCAAGAAAAAGCTTACTCTAGTACTGTAACCCTCCTGAGCAGCTTGTCTTCGATGATAAAAGAGCAGGTCTGATTCTAGTTTATTACATAAAATCACATTTTCTTTTGTTAATTTCTCTGATAATTGGTAAAACATTATGCCTTCTGACAGATGTCCCCTCCAGGAGTTTAATATTTAATACACATCAGCCTGTGTGTGTGTACTTTCTTTGCCTTTTTGTGCATGTTCCTCGGTGTGCTAGTGTGGGGATTGTGAGTGTGTATGTCTAAGCTCAGCTTGCACTCAATCTACCTAGTGATCCAACTTCTGTTCTCTGGGGTTTCAGTCCCATGAGTGGACCCTCACAGAGAGAACAGAAGGGGATCCACCAAGCCCCGGCTACACAGCCGCTGACCCATCTGGCCATTAAGCCAGCAGGGAGGGAGCACACAGGATGCGGCGCCTAAAGCTCGGCATAAAACATCCTGAGCTAAGATGAGACTGGCAGATCACACAATGCCTGTAAAAGGTGGAAATGGAGTACAGCAAGCACATACAGAGCAACCTTCGCATTTTATTTTGAGATGCTATGTGTTGTCTGCAATGTGTTTTTCTGTTTAGTTCCTAGATAAACACATACCATAGAGAGGACTGTGCTGAATGGTGTACAAAGTGACAGTGATCCTGCTGCTGTTGTGTATCATTTAGAGCAAAAACAACATGTTGATTCAGCTACAATCTTTGCGAGGCAGACATGACACACTCAGTGTGTGTGTGTAGAGGGGTGGGGATTCACCTCAGTGCTGTTCCTCCTTCATATTTCTAATAACCTCTCACGTCTGCTATTGACCTCAGCCCAGCAGCAAGATCAGCTTAAAATGCTGCTCACACCATTAACACCAGTCCAAGCAGCCAGTGTAAAGCAGCACCTGTCATGTTTTCTCCCCTGGTTGGTTATGAACCACCCGCTCCCTCCTTCCCTCCCTCCCACCAACCTCTAATCTTTTTCATGCCTCTGAAAATCCAGAATTTACACACAACAGGAGCACCTTCCATGACTGAAGATGAGGATTTCTGTCCCAGCTCTGGAATTAATCCAATTTATGAGATAAAAATTGAAACAAAATTAGTCTACAGTCTCTAAAACTGTCACTGGATTAGGAAGACTCGCTGTTGTTCTAATTTATCTCTCTTTCTAATTATGATTGTGACTTAGGAGCAAGCTGATACTTCTTATTACAGAGGGAAATTAACTGAAGATCACTTCTTTTCTGATGCACTGTTGAAAAAAAATAGCAAACATCAGTGACATGTTCATTGAATCACATGTGGTGCTATGGTAACACCCCTGGAAGGTAATACATTTAAATCAATTCAAATATCTTATAGGATCTTGTCTATACACACAGTATCTGATACATCATAATGGTAGTTTTGTATTTTTTAACCACATCTTAAGGCTATTTATTGTTTATAAATGATCTCATACAAAGGTTATAATCAGTTCTTTGGCCACAGTGTGATGCTACTGCCATCTACTGACACTGTAGCCATTCCCTGTGTTAGGTTTGGTCCCCACCCCTACCCCCACCCCCACTACTCTGTCTCAAAATGTTAAATTTGTACAATCACAACCGGTAGATGACAAAATGGGCTTCTGAATAGACTTCCTCTTCAGCACTTCGGACAAGTGAGCTCCTTGCATCAGCATCAAAATGCACTCAAATGAACTTACTTTATTCTTTCACAAGATGGTGCTGCAGTCATTTTTGGTGATGCCAGCTAACTTCATCCTCATCATTTCCAATGCTGCAAGATTATGTAAACACACATAGCCACCTGGGATGAGAATGCTTCCAACTACATTGATTCTCTTCATACTAACTCTACCTTAACCAACAGCCCTTACCTTAATCTTACAGTTTTACTTCATTGTATTAATGTAAGGTTAAAAGCAAAAGCCTGGTGCAAATGCATGTTCTCATAATTCTTCAATCATCAAAATTCCACACAGAGGGTCTAAAAACTATAAAGTAACAAATAAAAGCTCCCCATTCAGGAAAGCAAAATGATAAACAACATGTTTAACTAACACAGTTAGTTATTGAGCAGTCTATTTACTAGACCTTAAATAAAATCAAAGCGTATGCGATAAGCCCAACCTTTGCATGACTGTAGTGATATCATTACAAGCCACGTCTGTGGCCTGGGTGTTTAAATACGTACTACAGCATGTGTGTGAAGAGTAAATAGAAATGTATGAGAACTACAGCTTTACCTTGTGGGACTCCCCTTGTTGCCCTTTGGGAATCAGTTTTTGTCCCAACAATGTGATCAATAAAGAACATACATTTGGCTACAGACAGATCACTAAGTTACTGCTACCCCACTGGTTACCTGTGCACATTCTTCTTATACAAATACCTATACATTAATATGCTTTTTTTTTTTTTTTACTTACCACTGAAGTTCACTCCTCTGATGAAAGATTGAGGGATTGGGTTGATAAAAATAATTCAATTAATTACATGATTGAAAGTAGCACCTTGATTAATAAATTAGCAAGTAGCAGAAAAGCTGCATAAGTGTTTTTTCATGAATTAGCTAATTAGCAGTTAGCTAACAGGATGCAGAAAGTAGAGCCCTAAAAGTGTGTGTTTGTGTGTGTGGACAATGGTTAACTGGTTGATTAATTTGGAGATGCTATTACTATCAGTACCAACTTGTTTTCTGAAAAGTGTCACAGCAGCAGATGCTCTATTTTAAGGTTGTGTTTGGTTTGTTTACATATAAAAAGTACATTTTTCTAGGTATGCCTGTATAGTCTATAGACACAGGCGTACTGTAAAAGTACATTTTGTATGATCTACTGTTGCAAAACATTTTTATGCATTACCTACATTAAATTATGAAATCTATAGCCCTCATTTATCCTTCATCAT